TGATATTGGAAAGGTCTTACATACTAGCACATTGATACCTACAGACACAACAGATAAATCCTTGAAAAAGATTATCAGTCCTGTTCTTTTTTAAAAAAAATATCATTTTATGTTGGTATTTAGCCCAAATATGGCATTCACAGTTAGGCTCAGACCCTTTCCCTTTTGTTATCATTATCTGAAACACTTTAACTCTCTGTACTTTTTTTAAAAAAACGTATAATTTAATTTTGCTTCCTTGAAGTTTGGCTGTGCCTTTTTTCTAAGAAATCAGAATGGATTCATGAAAGAGGTGTCAGAGCAATTCAGAGAGCTGTCTCTTACTTCAGGCCCTGTCAGAAACATCCTATGGGTGATTAAATCAGGCAACAAGTTTAACCTTCCACACTTAACTCTCCATTTCTGAATAGGAGGAATGATAGCACCAGTTATGTCATTGAGACATTCATGATGAATGTGTTAAAAGATGCTGAGTCATTTGGATATCATCTGATGCACCTACATAAAAATCTTAATGTAATTGAGATTCTTGCATTAAAATGAATAGCTTCTCAAGTTAATAGATGAATCTATTGAAAACCTTCGTACGATTGCTATCCATAAATTTGTTAAAAGGAGATTAGTAAGATACATCCTGGCCAGCAGGCTTCAGGTTTCCTTTGGCCAGCAAAAACACATGCTCAGTGTCTGAGGCCCACAGCCCTTTAAATACCAGATGATCCCATGCCAGCCACAGCTGCTGAGTCAGCCCATAGAGCCTGGACCAGTGCTCCCAGATTGCTGGGTGCTTGTCCTCCATCCTTGACAGCCCGAGGGAGAAATAGGAGAGGAACAAAAGGGGACCATAGCAGACCTACATGTGATAGAACTGCAGGGGAACACCTAGCAGACAGTGAGGCTCCAACAGCACACTGGCTTGGCTGCATTTCTCCATAAAAGTATGCACCATTTCATAAAGAAAACTCCTGTCTGAGCTTCACAAAAAGAACTCAAAGAGAAGACCTTCTGATGTATGTTTTTCAGTTTGAACCAACAAACAACCATTTAAACCATGCCTTTCATCTCCCCCCCACCCCTTTTCCCAGTTCTCTAGTAGAACTCAGCATTTCTGTGACCAAAATTTCCCTTTCTATCAGTTACTAGTGAGGTTTTTAAAATTACAAGTTAAGTGGCATTGGTTTGTTTTGGGCTTCTTTTTGACATGATATTCACAAATGTGGAGGACTTAGGGGACTGAGGCAAAGAGAAAGGCTGGTAGACAGTAGTACATGATTGATGGCAGAAGTGGAGAGGAGGATGTTGAACAGAAGGAGGTGAGAGGGAGGTGTGGAGGACAGAGAGAAGTAGGTGTCATTAGAAGGAAATGAGGAGACAAAGAAAAGAGTAGATGTGTGCAAACTGCACAGTAAAATTCCTTTCCAAGAGCTCAAATCTCAGCAGTTATTAGTTTTCTGTTTTGTGAGGAAAACTGACACTACACAAAGATGAGGAGACAGAAGAAATTAATGGAATGCAACTGCTTTGTACCCACTTATGGTGGTGCTGAGTTTGGGTGATTAGGAAACAGTTTCCTGTTTCCTGTTTCCATTCAGAAAGCAGGAAGAAAAATGTTCTAGAAACTCAATGTAAACTTTCTCTCATGGCTGATAAAATTAATAAAATGAATATAAATTAATATCTTCTGTTCTTTTTAACAGATCTTCTAGTAATTCATAGTTTCCAGCATATAAAGCCTTTTTTTACATGCTGAGAAATGAGAAGGCACATTATTAGTTGGAGCAATGGCAATCAGCAATGAAATCAGTTCTTCTTCTCCTGACCTGTTTCCTCATCACTGGCCTGACCCTTGGACATGCCACCAGAAAGAGATTTACCCACTTAAGTAGCAATTAACGCTTCTATCTTTTGTTTGTTGGTTGTTTTTGGGGTTTGGGGGGGGGGGG